CGCGGGGTTAACCGTTTGTGTCCCGGGACAGAGTTTAGACACGGAATAAGTCCGCGTTGACCCGGGACAGTCCCCATTGACCCGGGACAGTCCCAGTGTTGAGTCTGTGTCCCACTGTCCCTGCAGATTTACACAAAACCACTGATCTCAGTTTTATACTAGAAACGTGTCAGTGTCTCTGCTGTTGCAGGATCAGTTTGGTCAGAAATAAAGAGACATAAACTGTCATTTGTTTTGGTAAAATACAGAAAAACTGCTTAAAAATCACCAAAACACAGAAAATGACAGTGAGTCGTGAATGGGCCGAGTGCAGAATATTTTTCTTAATCTCTCAATTTACAATTTTATTACAAACCAGGGACGTCCCGGTTTTTATTTTGAAACTCTGGTCACTCTGAACAGTTCAAAAATAAAATCAAATGTTGACCTTATTTAAACACGCAAGTTTTTTTTTAAAATTATTATTATTAATGAATGAATGAATGAATCATTCATTTACACGTCGCCTTTCAAAGACACTCAGAGTTTTGCGCTGACGGTGCAGATTGGCAGCCTCACTTCCGTCAGTCTGCCCCAGGGCGGCTGTGGCTACAGTAGTAACTTACCACCACTGAGTGTGAAGTGATTAATGTAAAGTGTCTTTGAGACAAACTACTGTAGCCACAGCTGCCCTGAGGCAGACTGACGGAAGTGAGGCTGTCAGTCTGTGCCATCTTCCCCTCTGACCACCAACACACTCACACACAACCTTCATACAGTGTCTTGCCTAAGGACACAACAACAGTTCTTGTGTCTGGCTCCTCCTGTGGCTCCTGGACGTCCCAGAGTCTCATCCAAGTCCAGACCTGGACCTGGACCTGGACCTGGACCTGCTGACAAACCACTCACCTGCTTGTTTCCATGGAGACGTCAATGTTCCACAGTGACTTTAAACAGCTTCACTTTACATTTATTCACTTACAGGAGGATTTATGTCTCAAAAAACTAAAACAACATTCTGACGGTGAGCGGGGTCGCCTCTCCACAGATCTGACCTGTGACTTGGTCTGGTTTGGTCTCCATGAAGATAGAAAGTTTTAAAAAGTTACACGACCAAGAAGTTCCAGTTCCAGGTCAGATCTGTGGAGAGGCGACTCCGCTCAGTCAGAATGTCTGTTTCTTTAAGTGTGAGATTTTGTCCACACCTTTTCCCACAGGACGAGTTTTCCTTCCAAATCACTTAAAGCTCAAGCTCAGCCTTTGTCCCTGTAGAGACGACGGTCGTCTGCGTTTGACCCTCAGCGTCTCTGGGTCACATGGGTCACATGGGTCACATGGGTCACATGGGTCACATGGGTCACATGGGTCAGGAGCAGTGATCAGGGCTGAAGCACCAAACTCTGGGCCCTGGTACAAATCATCTTACTGGACTCATCCTACATGTTTTCTGAAGACAAATGCACATTTCTGTTCAACCTGGGTCCCATTTTGTGGCTGTAAAAGTTTAACTGTTGAGTTTTCACTCCACTTCCTTTTTTGTGAAAAGTTTGTGTTGTTTTGTTTTTATTTATTGTCTCTCCACCTGTACAAAGTTCTGTTTACGTGTGTATATCGTTTTTTAGTTTTTTTTAAATGATGGTGGCTGGTGTATGATGTTATTTTCTGGAAAATACATTTCCTGTCTATAAGTCATTATCTGAAATGTAACGATTATCTGATTATAAACAAGAAAAAAGCCCATTAAAGGATTTGAACTTATTGTTATTTGTGGGGTTTATATGACATGAGTTTTCTGATCCGGACACTTTGGATCAAAGTCGGTTGGACTCGACCCCCGGAACAAAATGAGTTTGACTCTCCTGATCTGTACGACCTTTAAAAACACGGGGAGAACATGCAAACTCCACATGGAAACACTTTAAACCCAGAGACCCGCCCCTCACCGCCGCCCGGGCTCCGGGTTGAACACAGACGCAGACACGTGGAAAACCAAGTCCTGTTTAATTGCATTATTGAAGCATAGATGCATTACTTGTGAAAAAGGTAGAAAAACAGCACTTTTCTCTCGAATAAGTTACACCAGGCCAAACATCGCGACGACTCAAACCAAACCGTCCAAAGCAACTTCTTTTAAATCATCGAAACAAAACGGGACGACTCAACTCAGAGCTCGGAAATAACGGTCTCCTGTTTTCGAAGTTAAAATAAACGAGAATAAAACACAGAATTAGATGCAAGTGGCTATTTTTTTTTCTTTTTTTTTTTTTTTTTTTACGGTCCTTCGCCCCAAACGGGTTTTTAAGCAAGCATTTCATGAAACTTCTGCAGCTTCAATCACCGTTCAACAATACGCAAAGTTATAGTAGAAAATTATAATAACATTAATTACAGACGGTAATAATGGTAAGATTAGTCCTGTACACAAGGGGGCGCCGTCGGGACCACAGAGCGACAGAGGAGCGCTGGACTCGCACGCGGAAACGAGGAGCGGAGACGTTGGAGACGGGATCAACATCTGTCCTCGGCTGTGGTCATCAGGCCTCTCCCATTTCTGGAACAAAAAAAAAGAAAAAAGAAAAGAAATGGGTCAAAGTTTAAAAAGAAATTTGGATTTTTTTTTGACTTTTCTGTTGGATTTAGGAAGAAAAAAGTGATTTAAGTTACAAATGTGAAAGGGGCTTGTGTAGAAATTACAGCTGAACTCTTAAAAACATGAACATAGATATTTGGAGGAGACTAAGACTAAACCAGGACTAAACCAGGACTAAACCAGGACTAAACCAGGACTGAACCAGGACTGAACCAGGACTAAACCAGGACTAAACCAGGATTGAACCAGGACAGAATGAGGACTAAATGAGGATAGGACCAGCACTAAACCAGGACTAAACTAAGACTAAACCAGACTTAAACCAGGACTAAACCAGGATAAAACCAGAACTGAACCAGAATTGAACCAGAGGAGGACTAAACCAAAACTAAACCAGGTCTTAACCAGGTCTAAACCAGGACAGTACGAGGACTAAACTAAGACTGAACCGGTATAGAACCAGGACTAAACCAGGATTGACCCAGATTTGAACCAAGACTAAACCAGGATAGAATAAGGACTAAACCAAGACTAACCAGGACTAAACCAAGACTAAACCAAAACTAAAATAGGACTAAACCAGAACTGAACAAGATTTGAACCAGGAGTGAACCAGGATTAAACCAAAACTAAACCAGGTCCAAACCAGGACAGAACAAGGACTAAATGAGGATAGGACTTGGACTAAACCAGGATTGAACCAGACTTGAACCAGGACTTAATCAGGACTAAACCAAGATAGAACTAGGACTAAACCAGGACTAAATCATGACAGATCCAGGTCTAAATGAGAATTGAACCAGGACTAAACCAGACTTGAACCAGGACAGAACGAGGAGAGATTGAGGATTGAACCAGATTTGAACCAGGACCAAACCAGAAGAACGAAGACTAAACCATGATACATCTAGGACTAAACCAGGACTAAATCATGACACATCCAGGCCTAAATGAGAACTGAACCAGGACTAAACCAGGACTAAACCAGATTTGAACCAGAAACCAGGACTAAACCAGAATTGAACCAAGATTAAGTGTATTTTGAACCAATGCCAAGTGCACATAGGTGTGTGTTTGTGTGTGTTTGTGTGTGTGTGTTTGTGTGTGTTTGTGTATTGATATTGTGTGTGTCTAATGGTACAGATTTGGCAGCCTCTCTTCCTCCCCTCTGCCCCAGGACGGCTGTGGCTGTGGTGAGAGCTTTGTGGCTTTCAGCTGCAGCGTCGGAGAGAACGAATCATGTAAAGTGTAAAGTGTAAAATGTAAAGTGTAAAGTGTACAAGTGTAAAGTGTACAGTGTAAAGTGTACAGTGTAAAGTGTAAAATGTAAAGTGTAAAATGTAAAGTGTAAAGTGTACAGTGTAAAGTGTACAGTGTAAAGTGTACAGTGTAAAGTGTAAAATGTAAAGTGTAAAATGTACAGTGTAAAGTGTAAAGTGTACAGTGTTCAGTGCTCTGGATGTTTGAGAGGCTCCATAAAACTCTGATGAATTATTAATCTTATAATAAGATTTTAACGACACTGAGCTGCTCTGCTCCTCACACGGACGTCCTGAACGCTCCGTCATCCCAAAGAAAAGACCGGAACACACACACTTATACATGTATTTATAGAAATGATGATGAAACCTGATCTCCACCATCCACCACAGACTTACACCAGAGAGGAAAAATACAAAAATATTAAAAAATACAGGTTAAATATGGATTTGATGAGATGAAACTCAGGATTTTATAAAGACCTGATGTTTTGATGAGGTGTGAGGTTGTGTTGTGTGTGTGTGTGTGTCTGTGTGTGTGTGTGTGTCTGTGTGTGTGTGCGTGCGTGTGTGTGTGTGTGTGTGCGTGGACAGTGTGATTTGTTCTTATTGTTGACTGTTTGTAATTTCACTGAATAATTTATTTTGTAAATATGCAGATGGGAACTAACTGTTTAAGCTCTAATCTGGTGCAGAACATCACTATTTTATTTTATTCAATTTTATTTTTACATTTTATTTTATTATATTTTATTTTTCATGTTATTATTATTAATTTTTATGTTATTAATTTTATTTTATTTGTTATTATTTTATAATATTTTTCCTATTTCATTTTATTTGTTTATTTTATTTTATATTTATTTTATTTATTAATTTTATTTTTTTATTTTTATTTTTTTTAAGTAATTTGTTTTATTGTATTTAGTATTATTATATATTATTTATATATTATATATATTATAATATTATTTTAAATTTTTTAAATTTCATTTTATTTAATACATTTTTTAATTTTATATTTAATTTTATTTATTATTTTATTTCATTTGATTTCATTTTAATCAAATTTTTAATCTTATTTTGATTGTTTAATTTTATATTTTATTGTATTTTTATAGAGTCAGTGGATATAAATGAACATCTGTACTGACGAGTGTAAATCTGCAGAT